CCAGTGTCCAGTAGAACAGGCAGCCGGCAGGGAGGGCAGGGACACACGGGGAAGGGGGGGTCTCGTGGGCTGAGGGTGGGAAGAGGGGAGAAGAGGAGCTCTGGGCTCGGGGCACCCACACTAGCCTGGCAGGGGCTCCTCGGTGGGTGGGGGTCTGCCCGGCTCTTTTCTGCAGGGGCTTGAGCCCAGTGTCCTCCCCCCCCCCCCCCAACAGGTACATGCGGTCCGGGCACAATGCATGCTGGGTAATGCAGGGCAGGGCTGGGCCCCTAGACCAAGCCCTGGGCTGCAGGCGGGTGCCAGCTGGCCAGGAGGACGGGGAGGCACTGGGGACAGCTGCCAGCTCAGTGAACTTGGGGACGAGGCCGCGACACTCCTGGGGGGACTGTCCTTTACAACCTCTGGCTTCTTTGTCCTGAGGTTCTGTCGCCAGGACAAGCCTCAGCCCTGCCCCGTCCCTCAGGAACAGGCGGGGTCCCTGGTCTCGTGTCTATTGCGGAAGCAGCACTGGGCCTACGGGCCCACAGCTGCTCTGTAAAAGCCTCACCCTGGGCCTCAGTTTCCCACCCCCCTGCAAGGTGGCGCTGTCAGAACAGCAACCAGGAGCCCCCCACCCCCACCCTGACGGGCACTGACAGGTCAAATCTCCATCAGGCCCCTGTGGCTCCTGAGGTGAGTGGGAACAGACAGCTCGATCACCGTCCCACGTGTCACCTGCCAATACTGGTGACAGAAATCGAGGCTGTGAGGCTGGAGTGACAGTACAGCGGGAAGGGGGGTGTGCCCTGCGAGGGGCTGACTCGGCTCCATCCCCTACACCCTAGAGGGTCCCCCAAGCCCCGCCAAGAGTGACCCCTGAGCACAGAGCCAGGAGTAAACCCTGAGCACCACCGGGTGTCACCGCCACCCAACAAAATAAAAACCTGCAGAGGTGGTGGGTGGGGGAGGGGCACGCGGAAGCACAGGGGGAGGGGCCATCGTGTGTGTGGGGGGGGGAGGCGGGGCTCAAACGGCTGCCTGCAGGTTCCAGATGGTTCCAGCCACCCGCCGACGGGCACCGTCTGGGGACGCCTAGAAACCAAACCAACATGGGTATGCAGTCAGGACGCCAAGGGGCTGCCCACACAAAGCTGAGCCCGGCAGGGCCAAGAGGCTGGCGCAGGGGCTGGATTCCGGATGCAAGGCTGGCAGCTGGGCACATGGGGGTCCCACCAAGCACGGCCAGGTGGGGGCAAGGCCGGGAGCCCCTCCCAGCTCAAATGCCCGACCCAAGGCGGCTCTGCCTGCCCTCGGAACGGACAGTTTATTTATTCATGAGCACACACAGCGCCCGACAGCAGTCAGCCCAACACCTAATTATAGCAGGAATTTCATTAGAGCGGAGGAAATACCCGCTTTCCAATCCTGCCTGTGGACACAGGCCTCCACTGACCCTCCTGTGTCCGGACACACTGGCAGTCAGGACCGGCCCCGAGCTGGCAGCTGCCCCTCCCGAGTGCAGGCTCTGGGGTGTGCCCCCTGGGCCACACGGTGGCTGGTGCATGGGCACTGCCCGACCCCCCACAGGCAGCAGGGAGGAGCCTCGCCTCGGCCCGGATGGAATGCACACGGCCCCAGGCTGAGGCAGGGAGGCGGGGGCTACGGGCTCCCAGGGAAGCTCCAGAGGGGCTCGTGGGGGCGGTGGACGTGCCAACGGGGACAGTGGTCGGGCTGAGTCAGAGTACAAGGACCAGAGCCACACAGAGCCACACGGACACACGTGTGCACACACAACATATGAACATGTGCGTGCAAATACACACACGTACACAATTCCATGCCTACCTGTAATGTATACACATGTACTCACACATACATGCACACCCACACATGCACACACCCACACATGCATGCACATACCTACATCCCCACACACCTACGGGCACATGCTGCACTCACATTCACACATGCACACACCTGCAGATGTACACGCATGTACCCTCATGCCTACAGGCATGTGCCTACTCGTACACAATGCAAATACCTGTACATGTACGCCCACAGACCCAGGCACCTACAGGCACGTGTCCACCCTCACACACACTCATGCACATGCCTGCACACATACACATATGTACCCACACACCTATCGGCACACACAGGAACCCACATGCCTACAGGCGTGTGCCCACACTCATACGCATGAACACATATGTACCCTAAAGGCACGTGCCCATACTCACACACACGCACGTGTCCACACATGTACCCAGACTCCTACAGGCACATGCCCAGACACACACACACACACACACACACACACACACACACACACACACCTACACACATGTACCCGAATGGAGGTAAGGAAATGATACGCCGTGTGGGGCGGGTGCCCCGACCCCCCAGGGCCCAGCAGACCCTTCACACCTCAGCCTCGTGGGTCTGAGTCACACTCGTGGCCTCCGTGATGGGGTCAGTCAGTGCAGACGGCCTGGGTGGGCCTATCCTCTGCCACACGGCCTCCTTCTGAGCCCTGCTGTGGCCGTGACAGGAAGGGCCCATCTGGGGGGCCTGAGGAGAGGCAGCACTGGGCCCGGAGTGCAGGGGTGGCTCAGGGGCCAGGAAGTGAGGGGCCGGCTCAGCATGGGTCCCCACCCATGGGCGGAGCACCCTCTTGCCCTTGCCTGCTCATCCTATCCACACACCTCCCAGCGTCACCAACTGGCTTGGAGCATCACACACACCTGCTCGGGGACACACACGTGCACACATCTATGCACACACTTATGCAAACACAAGCGTGCACACCCAGCATACTCCTTCCCTTCAAGGCAAGCACAGAAGTGTTGGCACCCAGCACACCCCTTCCTCGGCCTCTCCCCAGTGCCGCTGGAGCACCTCATGCTCCCCCAGACCCCAGAGCCCCCCTCCGCCAGGCCCCATCTGCTGCTCAGGGCAGCCCCAGCACAGGACGCTGTGAGGACACAGTTCTGCTCTGAGGAGCTCGGGCCCTGCCAGAGCGGCATTACAAGCAGCATGACAGGCCATCCCCAGGGCCAGAGCAGAAGCACAGCGGGGAGGGTGCTGGCTTGCACGCTGACCCGGGTTCGACCCCCGGCATCCCATCTGGTCTCTGAGCCCTGCCCACAGTGATTCCTGGAAACAGATGCAGGAGTGAGCCCTGAGCACTGCCAGGGGTGGCCCCCAGACAAAATCTCCAGGCAGCTCAAGTATCTGCAGAGTGGGACTGGGCTGCCGGTGGAGAGCCAGCAGGGCAAGACTCACTCAATCTGGACGATGGCAGCTGGCCCGTCCCCCTGGCCGCTCCCTACAGGCTGGGGAAGGGTGTGACCCGTCCCCTACACGGGGTGTGAGACCAAGCCGACTCCTCACTCACTCAGTGCCCACAGAGGATGACTGCGAGTGGGCCCTGGGCCCTGGGAGTGGACAGGGACACTCCTGCACCGTCCCTGGATGCTGACGTGCCCTCTGTCCATTCCACAGGTGGCAGTACTGAGTCCAGGGTGCTGGGCAAGGGCAGAGTCTTATGCTTGCCAGTCTGCCCCTGGGCCAGGCTGGGAAGACTGGGAGAAGCTTCCTCCAGTCCCTCCCCCCGACCCCAGCCAGTTTCTAGGACCCCAAGTATCCATCACCACCCTCATGTCTTTCCAGCAGGGCATTCAGTTCTGCCTTTATTTTTATTTATTTATTTTTAACTAAACTTCCAGCCGCTCCTATGATTAATTACCAGCTGCCTAATGCTCCGTCACTAGCAATTTCTGGAAAGGGAATGAATTACCTTGAAAAACATCCGACAAGGGAAGCCACCGTGAAGGATAATCTCAGAGGTTGCTCTGTGAGTGGCGGGCTCCCTGTGCCTTGCCGGCTGGACCCCTGGCCTCTCTGCTCTCTCCCACCCTGCCCCTGCTCCCGGGCGGCCCGGCCGGCTGGCAGAGGTTGCTCGCCCCATCCTGTGCTCCAGCCGTGCCCTCTGAGGCTTCATGAGCTGCCGCTTCACTCCAAGGGACCGTGTGCAAACCCCGACTCCACCACGGAGAGCCCTGTGGGTTTCCTAACCACTCCACGCCCCTAGAGAACACAGCACTAAGCACCTCGTCCCTGGGGCTTCTGTGGGGAGAAAGACGCATTTACGGAGAGAGTGAAGCTGAGAGGCTGAGAGGCACTGGAGGCCCAAGCGAGCCTGGCCGCACGCCCACGACACGTCTTGCAATCTGGCCCGTCCCAGGAGTGGCACTGGACCCGGGTGACCAGCTGAGGGCAGGTTTCCTACAGCAGGCGGGAGGTTCAACCCCTGTCAGGGTAGCCTGGGGACAAGGGACTGGGCCACTAGGGAGGTCTCTGGAGCCTGGGCTGCCAGCTGCACAGCTCAGAGAACTGCAGGACACAACTGGTGGCCCAGGACCCCACACCCCACTCGACAGACGGTGGGGGGGGGCAGCCCCACCACAGGCCCCTGCGACTCCGGCCTCCCTCAAATTTCACCCAAGCCGAGGGTCGAGGAGGCGCAGAAAGTGTCACCCGAGCATCAGGGAGGCGGTGGGGACAGAGGCAGCTGGAAGATGGAAGTGTCCAGCCACTGGGGGGCGCTAACACACTCGGGGTGCTCCCGTCCTTCCTCTTATTGATGGGGAATTGAGGCACACAGAGCAGAGGGGGGGGGGACGCAGGTGGGGGCGACCCAGAGCGGGGGGACACAGCCACAGCACGTCCAAAGGTGTCCCAGGGCAGGGTCAGCAGAGCACCCCATGGGTGGCCATCAGTGATCAGGCCCCTGTCCCCCCGGTCTCGGGCAGGAGACCACCATCCAAGGGGCTCAGACAGGCAGTGAAGAGACCAAGGCCAGGTTTAGGGGCCCTTGCAGACAGGCCCAGCCCTGTCAGGGGTGACCTGGTATTGGCCAGGTGCCCACGCCCACCGCAAGCACCGAACCAAGGGCAGTCTGCAGGGCTGTCTGGGGGTGCTCATCCCGGACCCCGCCAGGACCCATGCACACCTACCTCAGACCTGCAAATCACCGGTGTCCCTCGTGTCAGCCAGCAGCTCCTGCCTCCGCCTCGCTCAGTCCAGCTTCATCCTGAGAGAAGAAGAACGGTCAGACACCCCTGGACACGCCCCAGCCCTGCTGCCCGCAGCCAGACCCCAGCTCTGACCAAGGGAGGAGTGCCACGCGGGGGAGTGGGGTAAGGGGGTCACAGATATGCTCCTGGCCAAGGAGACATCTCAAAGCACACAGGGCAGCAGAAACCCTCGGCATCCACCCATCCATCCAACACCGAGTGAGGGTGTGGTCCAGCTGCCCTGCCCTTTCAGGCATGGGGGCCGAGAGCACAGAACCAGACGGTACTCAATACAAGTGGGCTAACAGAGGCGGTGTAGAGAAGCCTCGGGAAGACCCCCAAGCAAAGCCGAGCTGAAGAGCCGGAGAGGCAGCACTACAGGCCTGGATCAGCGTGTTGGACAGGGGAACAGTACGTGGAAGACTCCAAACCAGACTGGGTGTGAGGCGTGGAGGGGGGGGGGGGCTGCTGGGCGGGGCCAGGAGGCTGTTGGTGGGCGGGGACGTGGGCGGGGCCAGGAGGCTGTTTGTGGGCGGGGGCAGGAGGTCAGCTGGTGCGAATCACGTTTCGTTTTGGTTTGGTTTTGGTGACAGTGAATTACAAAGTCGTTCATGATTGGGTTTCAGGGATACAAGGTTTCACACCACTTGCCTCTACCAATGTCCCCATTCCTCACCCACCTGCCTTCTGCCTTGGAGGGGAGCCCCCAGGGGAGTCCTCTCACTAGGGGCCTCCTGTGAGTCTCCTCTGGGCTTTGCTGCCACCCCGCCATGCCTGCACAGGACTCAGGGAGAGCGGAGAGTGAGTGCCCACGCTGCAGGGGGCGGGGGACACCGCGCTGTGTGCTAGGCAGCCTGGCACTGGTGATAGGGCTGAGGCAGAGTGGTGTCCCCTGTCGAGGGTGCACTGTTGAGAGCCACTCACTGCACGTGACAGGGCCACCGGGGCCAGGCAGGCTGGGGGCTCTCATGGGACCCCTTAGCTCTGGACTTGGGGGTACAGGGGGCAGATCCAAGGCAGGGATATCCTGAGGATCAGAGAGAAGGAAGAGGAGAGAAGCTGTCCGTTAGCCTTGCAGTTCCAGAGTACCACGAGCCTCTTGGCAGGGGAGAACGGAGCTGGAAGGACAGCCCGAGAGGACCCGCGGTGGGGTCTGACGTAGGCACAGGAGCTTCTCCCCACCTCCTGCTCCTGCCCCAGTGAGGGTGTTACAAGGGCCCCACCTCTCCGCCGGGAGTGAGATGCCGGCGAGCCAGTGGAGGGAGCTGCCTCCTTCCTGGGTTCGGGGCCACCCCAAGTTTCTGCGCCGGGCTGTGCGCTGTAGGACGAGGACGCTGGTGCCTCTAGCAGCCCAGGGTGGGGCTGGCTCTGTCCTCGGCGGGCAGGGAGGATGGGTAGGCAGAGCTGGGCTTGGACCCTGCTTGGTCCTTTTTATTTTGCGGGTGGAAGGGCTTTTGGGGTCACACCCGGCGATGCTCAGGCACTGCTCTGCACTCGGGAATCACTCCTGGCGGTGCTGGGGGGACCCTGTGGGAAGCTGGGGGTTGAGGGCATGCCAGGCAAACGCCCTGCCCCCTGTGCTGCCTCTCTGGCCCCTGCTCTGTCCTCTAACACCGGCTGACCTTGAGTGACTCACCCAGTCACTGCATCCCATCCTCTCCCAGTAGGACCTGGCTGCCCTTGTGCTACCGCAGCAGAGGTGCATGGTGACCCGCAGGTCACGCTGGGGTCAGGATGGGACAGGAGGTCGCACAGTGGCACCCTCCAGCTGGGCTCAGGGTGCTGTGGGGCTCACCGGGGCACAGTACGGAGGCGCAGAAGCCGGGGCATGGCTAAGTGGGAGCCCACCCGGCTGCCTGCCCTCCCCCGGCTGACCCAAGCTGCCTGGCCCAGCCAGGACCCCAGACCCCGCTCCCCGGTTACCACAGGGCTGCCCCCACCCCCCAAAACCCGCCCAGGGACTCATCCCCTGACTTGACCCCCATCCTCCCTGGCAGCCAGGACTGGCTCCGGGAGTGAGGCAAATATTTACCCCGATGGTTATCCAGAGCAGGCTGGCGGCCGCCTCCCGCATTCCTGAAATACGCGTTCCCTGACCTCACTGGCCAGGCAGGAGGGGCTGCGGGAGGAATGCAGACGGGGGGGCCGCGCCAGCTCAGGGGCCCCGTGCACCCGCTAGGGGCGGCCCAGAGGCCACGAGAGGTGCGAGATCACCCTAGCGTCTGCCGTGGGGCAACAGACACTACACACGACCAGACAGCACATGTGCCCCAGACTCCTACAGCCTCCATGCCTGCCTCTATCCCCACTGCCACCCACACACGGTATGCACCCCACACACACACACACACACACACACACACACGCGCGCGCGCGCCCCGCACACCACGTGCAACATGCACACCATACGTATACCATGGACATAAACCACACCCCCGTTCTACATACCCAACTGTCCCACCACGTCCCACTCACACACCACATCCACAATGTACACACCATAGCCCCTAGGCTCCATGCACACACTCCCATCACCCTGCACACACTGCACCTGGCACCCGCAGACTCGGGGCCGACTCAGCCCCTTCCGGACCTGCGTGGCACACAGTGCCCATGGCCACCTGCAGGGCTTGGCCCGGACCTGCCTCTAGGAGCCCAGAGTCTGGACCCAGCAGTGGAACATGGATGCAGGGTTCCTGGGCAGCGCTTGTGGCCAACCCCTCCTGCGCAGACACAGGGTCACAGCCAGTGGGAGAACAAGCACAGCGGCCCCAAGTCAGGCCTCCCAGTCCAGCAGAGGACCATAGGGTCCCTCCCTGTCAGCCCGTCAGCTGTCCCTTCTGAATGCCAGACGTGTTCTCCCAGGCCCGTGTGCTCGGCCCAGAGCTGCAGGCGAGGGTCAGCGCTTGCCCAGCGCCAAGTGAAACTCAGGGTCACACACGGGCCCCAGCTCTTAAGCTCCCCCCAGCCCTGAGTGCTCAGGGAGGCGGAAATCCGAGTCTGAGCAGCCTAACTGGGCCTCCAGGCACATCGCAGGGGCGGGGCCTCCCGAGCTGGCTGTGCCTGTGGGTTTCACTTCCTCAGAGTATCTCGAGCTGTGCCGCCAGCGGCCCATGCAGCCCCCAGGAGGCCCCATGTGCCCACTGCCAGCCTGATGTGTGCACACGTGCCCCTTGCTGGCCCCTCGCTCTCCTGCAAGAATTGTCCTGAGAGACCGGGAGAGCAGGCAGGAGTCAGCTGCGCCGCCAGGACAGGGGTGGCCGAGGGTGGTGATGGCTGCAGACAGGGAAGGCTCTCTGCTTCCCGGCTGGGCAGCCAAGTGGAGAGCGAGAAGTGCCCGAGGCCTCAGGGGATGGTCTCTGGGGTAGACGTGGCCTCTGGGGCTCATGCAGACCCGTGCTGGGGCCCTCCAGGCTCTGGCCAGGCCCAGCCCTGCTCACTCAGGGGCCATCGCAGGGCCCCAGGGAATGGCACCCACCCGCCCGCCTGCGGGGTATCCCATGTCCCCTCTGCCACGCCTGGCCTGGCCCTCACCAAGCCCCCAGACCTCACGGTGCTGCACTACTGTCCAGGGGCAGCGACGGGCAGGGGCCTCCAGATACCACGAGGGGAACGGACGGGCTCCCATGGTGGCTGGGACCTGGCACGCAGGGTCCCACAGCTCCCACACAGGGCTCCGCTTTCTGCCCAGCACGAAGCCCCCTGCCCGCGATGTTGGAAGGTTCCAGAGCAGGCGTCCCGGGGCAGAGGGCCTGGGGGCCAGGCCAGGAGTCCCACAGCTCTGCCTTCACACGGACAGACAGACGGACAGACACAGGGCCAGGCTCGGCCCCGCCTCACTCTTCAATCAGGGAAGGCGACTCAGGGAGGACGTGCCGAGCCCTGGCCAGCGCATGTGTGTGTGTGTGTGTGTGTGTGTGTGTGTGTGTGTGCATGCCTGAGTGCGTGTGCGCCTGTCTGAGGCCTGCAGTCATGCCCGGGCAGTGTCAGGCACAGCTGTGGGCAGGGGAGGAGGCGGTCAGAGCTCGGGGAAGCCCGTGACGTCAGTACACGCCCTGTGATTCCTGACTCACGGACACCTCGTGCGTGTCCCCACCCTGCGGCAGCTCCGAGTCCCAGGGGAGCAGAAAGCCACTGAGAGAGGAAGGCACAGGGACCCGCCCAGGGCGCAGAGTCAGGTCAACCCAAGGACGCGGCGGTCACTGTTCCCTCCCTGCAGCGACCCAGACCCTGTCTGTGGGCGATGGGCGGGTGACAGGAGGAAAAGAGGCAGCGAGGCGGAACTGGGACCCCCCCCCCCCCCCGTCCCCTCCCCTGCGTTCGGCCTCTCCCTGGGAACGCGGTCCCTCTGACCCGTGGCACGTCGGGCCAGTCTGCCTGGGACCCCGAGCTCTCCCTTAGGAGGCTGGAGTCCCTCCACCACCCACTGCCCACTCACTCCTCCGTCACCGCACCCGCTGTGCACTCCACGGGCCCACCCACACCTGCTGGGTCCAACTGCCATCCACTGCCCACACACACACCAGTCACGGCGCCCCACACGCACCATCCACTGCCCACACGCCTGCCTGTGTCGCCCCCATGGGAGTTCTGCCCGCTGGGGTCCCAGGGGCTGGCGCTGACCTGGCGTTGTCTGCACCCCTGGAGACTGGCCACGGCCACGACCTCTACGTGTGTGGGACCTCGGGAACTGAAACACAGAAGTATGTGGTGCAGGGGGTGTCCCCACACCCAGCCAGCCTCCGAGGGCGGGCGGGCGGGTCCCCAAATCCCTGGCTGGTCTCCTCCCACACACAAGGGCCCAGGCGAGGGTCTCCTGCTGGGGCCTGAGGGCCTGGATGTGTGTGTGTGTGTGTGCGCACCCGCGCACGGGCCTGGACCTTCGCCACAGGGGACTGCGGAGGTCAGGGCAGGCTGGAGGCCCAAGGCCCAGCTCCCTTCTGGCCGCCAGATCCCAGGGCAGCTGCAGCAAGGCCGGGACGCTGGGCAGGGTTTCCGGCTGGGCGCGCAGCCCATCCTCACCAAGGCTCGTGACCTGTCACTGCGGGCTCTGGGCCAGGCCGGGTGGGGCCCAGGACCCCCTCCGCCCGTCCTCCAGTCCCGTCTGGTTTCCTGTCCTGGCAGCCACGCCCGGCCCAGAGGGAGGAGAAGCAGCTGGCGATTTCTGGGGGCAGGAGTCGCTGCTGACCATGAGGTGGCCGTGAGGCTTTTCCCAGCAGGGGCTTTTTGGGGCAGTGGCTCGGGGCGCCGCGGGAGCTGGGCAGGGGGCTGCCATGACCACCGGGGAACGAAGCCTTTCCTGAACTGCGGGAGGGATGCGCGGGTGGACAGGCCAGGGCCTGGTGCAACGGGGAGGAGAGGTCAGAGTTACTGTCTCCCCCGACCGCCCCTCCCAAGGGCCAGGGGCAGGGCTGAGACTCGCTTCTGAAGACAGAGGGTCCAGCCACGGTGCAGGCCCACCACCGCCGATAAGCTGCCCACAGCCAGCACTGGCGGTGCATGCAGGTAGGAGATGGCGAGACCCGAGCGGGGCATGGGCCCAAGGTCAGTCCAGAGCTGGGACCTGGGGTACCCGGGGCCCCTGCTGGAAAGGTGGGTCTGCTCCTGGACAGGGGCGTTCTGGGACTCAGGACGGCGAGAGCCCCGGATCCACACTCAGCCATGGGTGCCCCCTTTCTGCGCGGGTCTCTGATTCCACATGGGTGGCCTCACCATTCCTGCAGAGCTCCCCGGAGGGCGGCCACACAGGCACCGAGCTCCTGGGCATGTGGAACTCCTATCTATTCCAGCTACCACACCCACCAGGCCTGGCAACATGGGGTGCAGCTCCCCCTGCGTCTGGGCCACCCTGCCCACAGGGACACATTCGACCGAGCCCCCTCAGACCCAGGCAGCAAGCCAACACTGCACCCGCCGACCGTAAGCACCAGGCCGGATAGCAGAAGGCGCAGGGCCCCAGCTCCAGGGACCGTGTTCTTGGCAGCCGGGTGGCCCTGCAGGAGTGGCCGAGGTGGGCCCCAGGGAGGGGCTCAGGTTCTGCACGCTACCCAGTCCCCCGTTCTGGGGTCCTACTCCAGCTCCATGCCTCCCGGTACTTGTTCCCTGACCGCCCCTTCTGTGCCTGGTCAGTGCTGGGTTCATCCTCCTGGGCTGTACCACGAGGGCAGATGTCACGGGGTGCACGCCCCACAGAAGGTCATAGAAGGTCCGTGCTCTGAGAATTGGCTCCCTGGCCAGCTCAGGCCCTGAACAGCGGGCACTTCCCGTGTGGGAGTCATGCATGGCCTCCCATGGGGCAAGCTCGGGGGACAGGACAGTGGCATCTGTGTCCCTCCCAGCCCGTCCCCAGCTGATTTCTGCCTTCAGAGCTCTTCCTGGGTAGACAGGGGCACCTGCCCCCCACTTCAGGACTGGGGGGACGGCACGACCCACAGCCCTTCCTTGCTAGGGGGAGGAGACAGGGCAGTCACTCCCCAGCCACACGTTCCACGATGCATGAAGCAGCACCCCAAGGGCTAGGAGTCCAGTCGGGGCTGTTGCCCACCCACCCACCACCGACTTCCTCCAGGCAGCGTGCAGGGCTCAGTCAGACTGCAGGGAGCTGCCCGGTGACTGACACAGTCTCCTGGATCTCGCTTCCTCTCATACACACACACGCATGCACATACACATGCACACACACACACACACACACACACACATGTACAGGGTCAGGGTTAGAGACACACGTGCACACATACAAACACACATATACATCTATATGCACACATACACATATGCAAATGTACATTCGCACACATGTACAAACACACCTATATATCTAGACACATGCACACACATTCACACCTACACGGACATACATGCACACGCCCACATACACATGCACACACACGCACAAATGCAAATACACACCTATGTACACGTGCACATACACACACATACACTCCCACACGCACACACTCATAGAGGGTCAGGGTCGCAGACACATGCACACACATGCACAGGGACAGGGCCGGGCAGACACCTCCAGACCACCTGCACCTCGAGGGTTTCTCTTCCATCCTCCCACCCAGCAGCCCCCAGCTTCCCGAGACAGCACCCCAGAGCTGGGCTGGGCTGTGGGGTGCAGGGTGGGCTGTGTTGGGCAGAGGCAGAGCTGTCCGGCTGGAATCCAGTCGGGGCGTCCAGGCACCAGAACGGGGCAGAAGAGGGAGCCGGCCTTGCCGGCAGCACCAGCCACAAGGTCAGGCTGGAGGACCTCTCAGAGAGGACAGGCTAGCGGGACTGAGTCCCGGCTGGCACTTGTGAGGCAGGAGGGGCCAAAGGCCCCAGCAGAGTCATTTGTGAACATGTCCCAGAGTTCACCAGGGCCCAGAGGTGGCTGACGCTATGGTCCCCAATACAGACCTGGGTCCCACTCCTAAGCCTCGGGCTCTGCCCTGAGGCCAGACAGCACCTCTTAAGCAGAGACCCCCTGTGGAGACGGCACCATCCTCCAGTGCTCCGGGCAGGGCCAGGCCTTTGCTCCCCACATACCCACCAGCCCGCCTCAACGCCTCTGCTGGCCTGGGCACTCGGAACAGACACGCAGAGGGATGGGGAGGGGGTGTGGGAGCGGGAGAGATGGGGGCGCAGCAGGTGTGAGGAAGGGGAGCTGGCAGAGGGAAAGAGGGCAGCAGGGGGGTGAGGCGGGCGGAGACACGCAGGCAGGGAGGGGTCCCAGAGGGGAAAGGGAGGGAGAAGCGGGAGGGGATGGGGGGGAGGGGGACACAGAGCCTGGGTGGGGGGCCAGGGAGGGGAGCGCACACCCTCCCACCCAACATTAAATACCTAACAGGAGATGACAAATCAAATGGGAATTACTGCAGGAAAAACATAATTAGAAACTTGATTGAAGTTAAACAGAATTTACATAACACTGCAAATTAACTTTACGCGGAAACTATTCACTGGGAAGGCAATGAAAGGCATTTCATTAGTAATCTATATTTAAACAATACACACAATGGGGCCTTCTGCAGAGGCGCTGGCACCTCCAGCCAGAGGGGACTCCAGGAGGAAGTGGGCAGCGGGCAGCGGGCAGGGTCCAGGACTGGGGTGGGGGTGGGGTGGGTGAGCTGAGCCCACACCCAGAGCTTTTTTTCTGCTCCCACTTCTGCCCTGAATCGCCCCTGGGCCTGGGCCCATCGTCTCCCTTACCCGAGTCTCAGGGAGTAGGTGGGTCGCCCCGCACCCAGGAGGGGACAGCCATGCCTGCCGGGGCCCATGAGGCTGGGAGAAGACAGTCACTGACTCCAGTCTGGGACGCAGAACCAGCAGAGTCAGGCCAGCTGCCACTATCCCCAGCACCCAGCAAGCCCGTCCTGCTCGGCCAGGTGGAGGGGCCATCCATGGAGGCAGTCCCCGGCCGACTGCTGTCACCAGGAGGCTTGGGGGAGAGGGACTGGGCCGAGTCCCAAGAGCAGTGGACCTGGGGCCGGAGAGCACAGACCCAAACACAGGCAGGTGTGGACGGACACCAAAACAAGAGGGGGAAGGATTCCAGGGGGGCCTGGGGCTTCTCGTCCCTCTGCGGGCAAGAGGTCACACAGCTTTCTGCACCGACCTGCCCCGGGCCGGGCGACACAGCCATCCCGTGCCAAGGGGGCACGTGTCAGGGACTGGAGGGGGCCACCAAGCCCCTACCCTGTGCATCTCATCTCTGTGGGGAAGTCTCCGAGCTCACACAGACCAGAAGGACTGTGCCCCCGGGGGCCACAGCAGCACCATCCTCGAGGCCCACCCTGGCTGGAACCTGTCCACGGGCCGCCCCGACCCACTCTGAGCCCAGGGCCCCACAGACATTCACGACTCCCCCAGGCCACAGTGCCTTGGCTCCGGCTGGTTGGGAGGATGCAGAAGCTTCTGTCCCTCCCTGGGGCTGGGTGGGGCTCCACAGGTGACAGGAAGCTGGGCTGTGTGGGCAGGGCCAGGGGCTGTCAAGAACAAGTGGCCAGTGTGAAGACACCAGGACAAGAGGCTGAGCTGAGGCTGGGCTGACCGGCCAGCCCAGACTTCACTGGTCTTGTCCCTACGGGAGGCTGCATTGGGCAAGAGTGGACAGCAGAGCTGCTTGGAAACCCTCCCTCCAACACCCCCGCAGCCTCTGAGCCCGAGCAGTGCTGTTCCTTCTGCTCATCCCAGCCTCCCCAGCAGGCGTCCATCAGCGGCATGGCCTGCGTCCAGTCCTGCTGGCACCCCACCCTGCGCTGTTCCCTGCTTCCCGCGTGCCCAGTCAGCACGCCCGACTCGCAATCAGGCTCCGCCCTTCCCCTCCAGAGGGCCCCGTGGCCCCCGGGGACTGGGTTACCTTCTGGGTGTGGCAGCCAAGAGACAGGCGGGGGCTCTCCTCACACCTCGGGCAGCATCAGTCTGGCACCTCGGGCCACCTTCTCGTGCTGCAGACACAGGAAGAGCGGACACCATGTGAGGCTCTGTCCAGCGGCCCACCCACCACCACTCCAACGGAGAATGCCCACCTCTGGACACCTAGTCACAGGCTCGGGCCAGTGAATGGCCTTTCGCGGGGCCATTCCTTCATCCACGGGGCAATGAATGGCTTTTTGCGGGGCTGGAGAACTAGGACAGTTGGGATGGTACACGACCAATCCAGGCTCCATCCCCAGCGCCCCACATGGTCCCCCAGCTCCCAGGAGTGATCCCTGAGAGCAGAGCCAGGAGTCGGCCCCCAGAAACAAAACGGAGAAACAAAACATGGACGTTTTGTTCCTGCTGGTGCTCTGGGTGCTGGGCGGTGCCTCCTGGCGGGGGCGCCAAGGCTGCCCCGTGTGGCGGGGGAGGGGCAGGGGGGTTAGCAGCCTCGGCCGTGCTCTCTCCACTGTTAGCTCTTGCCTGTAGGAAGGCTGGTGCTTAGGGCGCGTGGCAGGCCCTGGCATGCACTGACCGGGTTCAACCCATCACTCCCACAGCATCCCTGAGCACCGACAGGAGTGGTACCTGAGCACCGCCCTGAAGGCAGCAAAGACTCCGGTCAACGACTGAGCCTGAGCCCCCCGAATCCCAGAGGCTGGGGGAGCCCCGAGCTATTAGCCGCGCCTGCTCTATCCCCAGACCTGATACTGGTCTGCTGGACCCACACTCTTCTGGCCTGGTTTGGGGGCTACAGCCAGTAGTGCTCAGCGCGTGCTCTTGGCTGTGCTCAGGGAGGACTCCTGGCGGTCAGGGAACCTACGGGACGGCAGGGACTAAATCTTGTTTGGCCGCGTGCAAAGCAAGCACCCTCCCTGCTGTTCTATCTGGGCCCCATCACACACTTATTTTCTGAAGCTCCAATACACCTGGCCCAGAGCTATCATCTCTCTGAAATAGTTGATTTACTATGCTGGTTATATACTTTTAACAGACAGACAGAAACAAACCTACGTCTATTCTTCCTGCTACTGATTCAAGAACCTCGTCACAGGTCACTGGAGTTACCTGGGCAAAGCTCTGGCAAAGTCAGTATTGTTTACAGGCCCTTTCCTGGACAAAGGTCAGGGGAAGGCTGGTTCGAGGAATTGGGCCAAGAATCTGTTAGCAAATACGGCCAAGGATGGTGAGGGGAGCAGGGGTGAAGGGAGCAGGGGTGAGGGGAACAGGGCCAGTAAGGGAAGCAGGGGTGAGGGGAACAGGGCCAGTGAGGGGAGCAGGGGTGAGGGGAGCAGGGCAAGTGAGGGGAGCAGGGGTGAGGGGAGCAGGGGAGAGGGGAACAGGGCCAGTAATGGGAGCAGGGGTGAGGGGAGCAGGGCCAGTGAGGAGAGCAGGGCCAGTAATGGGAGCAGGGGTGAGGGGAGCAGGGCCAGTGAGGAGAGCAGGGCCAGTGAGGGGAGCAGGGCCAGTGAGGAGAGCGGGGCCAGTGAGGGGAGCAGGGGTGAGGGGAGCAGGGCTGAGGGGAACACGGCCAGTAAGGGGAGCAGGGGTGAGGGGAACAGGGCCAGTGAGGGGTGCTGGGAGGGTGAGGGACATTCACGTTGGAGGTGTTCAGTGCTGGCCCTTCTCGTCAGCCCGAGAACATCCTTCAGACACACTCTGCTCTGAGATCCCTGGGGCCTGAGGAGCAAACATTCTAGTTTGCTCCTCAGATGGGGGTCCCGGGAAAAGGCCGGGCCCCCGGAAGTCTTTTCCTGGATCTGGGGGGGGGGGGGTTCAGGTGGGCCAGTCAGCAGAGCTACAGCACGGCCACTCTGGGCTGCCCCTCCATGCACAGCTCCCTGTGTGGGATGGCCAGGCCTGCCCAGCACCACCCCCCCAGGATGTGGTGTGGAGGTGGGGGGCTGTGGGGTCACAGGGAGGGGCCGGGGCGGGATTTCCTGAAGCCAGATCGGTTTACCGCGGCAGTTGGGCCGCACAGCTGTGAGTTATAAATGTCCCCGCCGAGCTTGGACAGGGCGGCTGGCTGCAGGCAAGGGGCGAGGCCCTGGGCCTCCTCAGCCCCCCACCATGCGACTCTGAAGGGGTCTCACGCCACATCCCCGCATCCCCTGCGCCTTACACTCCGGGGTGCAAACTGCGCCCCCCCATCCCGGGCTTGGCGTGTGGTCAGCCACCCCAATCACAGTGGCACCTCTGCAAACCTGCCCAGGGGGCACGCCGGGGGTCTCCAGCCCAGGTCTTTCCTCCTGGTCTTCAGCCCTCCTACCCTCCTCCTCGGTCCCCGGGGCTCGGGTGGGTAGGACAGCACCCGGGCGGCCGGTCTGCAGTCCCCGCGCAGAGCCAACAGGCCAGAGGCCCCAACCGCTGGACCCGCAGGACCCGCAGCACTTAGAAGGAGAATCACGAGGCGAGATTCTAGACCTCAGAAATCCAGTGCCCTTCCCACGCCGCCCCCTTCGACAGCCGCCAACACTCACATCCCTGCCACCCCTGCCCCACCTAGAGCCCTGGAACATTCTAGAACTGTGAGAACACCTGCCTCCACGGAGCGAGTGCGGGAGTGGGCGTTTCCTGCGTTTGCCTGTCTGCACCTCTGCAGGAGGAGACGCGAAGCTGACAGGTGCAGCGCCAGCCCCAGGTAATGCCGGGGAAGTTCTACGGACCCGTGCACACGAACTCATGGGGGCTAGGGACCCAGGGAAGCCCAGAAACAGGGGGGCAGGGCCATGGCACACAGCGCCACAGGGCTCCCCCGCGGCACCCCTGAGCCCTGCCAGGAATGTCCTTGAGCACCATTGAGGACCGCTCCAGGGGCAGGGCCCTTCCAGCCCTGAGGCCCCGTGCACAGGGCCCTTCCTACTGCCTGTGTGAGGACAGCAGGCAATTCTCCGCCACTCGGAGCCCACGAGCTGCCCTCAGTGGCACCCAAGCCCAGCGGGCAGGCCCTGCTGACACTGTCCACTGTCCTACCCAGCCAGATCTCTCCTGCTTCACGGGTCAGCACCTACTGAGCAGCGTCTGCACTTTGGAGACGGGCAAGGCGGAGCCCCTGCTGCGGACAGGGAGCCCACGGGAGGTGTCCAGCCAGGCAGGTGACCACGGCGTTAAGTGGCCAATGGCGTGGTGTGTCGGCCGCCCTGCGTCAGGCCCTGGCCACTTCTCCTGCCCCTGTGCAGGCCACCAAGGGGCCGGAGCAAGGGGGGGGGGTCCAGGGTGTCGGTCACCGCTAGGCACGCCCTCAGGCGCTCTGCAAAGCTCTGAGGGGAGGAAAGGGAACTCCGGGAGAGCCAGCTCACACCTTAGCCTGGCCTGGAGACGCTGTCGGTGCTGGACCCCCATGGCGAGACCCCCCGGGGCCAGTCCCAGCCTCATGGAGGCCATACGCCTGGAACACAGGGGTTAGGTCCGGACGCAGAGGGACAGATCCCACAGCCGTGACCAGGTGTGACTGAAGGACCCGAGGGCTAGTAGTCCTGGGGCAGGTGAACCCTACCTGGGGGAAGGCCAGCTGGGAGCCTGGCCAGGCCACACGCCCAAGACTGTTCTCAGGCCCTCCCCCCTGTGCCCACTTCAGCCCCGTCCGCGTCCAAACGCTGCCAAGCCACTGGCCTTCCTCCCGCCCCCTCCCCCCACACCGTCCTGTCCTGGAACTGCAGCTTCGAGGTGTGATTCTGTTTGCTCAGACTGGCCTGAGGCTGCACGGCCGACCCTGGCACCGTGCCAGGCCGGTGGCAGGCCTGGGCCATAGGACCAAGTCCAGGGTTGCATCAAGGGCAAGTGGGAGGAGATGGAAGCTTCCAGAAATACAGATTGCATTTGGTTTGGGCCTGGCTCAGCCTCGACTCAGCTCCAGAGAGGTGCAGCCGGCCCCAGGAAGTCCAGGGGGGGCTTCCGGATAGTCCTGTCTCTGGTGGCCATTCACCACCAGCCGGACGAGCACTATAGGGGAAGCCCAGGGCCCTGGGTCAGCCCAGCTGCCCATTGCCTGGCTGGGAACCCCTGCCTGTCACCGCCCGCCTGCCCAGACCCAGGGCTGCTCCTAGCTCTGTCGGTCAGGTGAGATAGTTCAGCGGCTGCATTTGCCTCGCACGCTGCCCACCTGGGTGTGATCGCTGCCACCCATCCGCCCCCCAAACACCACCAGGAGTGACCGAGTGCAGGGCCAGGAGTCAGCCTGAGCGTCGCCGGGTGTGACCTGAACAACAACCAAAAAATGAAGCCCGTGGACAAGCGCCGGACAGGTGAGCCCTGGACAGCAGACAGCCTCTGGCCACCTCTGCTGACCTCCCTGACCCTTCCCTCCCACGCCCGACCCGGGGCTGCCCTGGAGTCTGTGTGTGGAGGGAAGGCAGGGTCACCCTGCGTGACAACTATAAAATTAGATAATGAGCTAATCACCAGCAAATTAGCATCCCATCTTTAACATAGAACAAATATAGTATTTACGTAAAAGTTGTTAGGAGTTCCTCTCATTTTAATTAGCAGAAATAAATGCAAAATGAATGGTAATTAGGTAGCTGATGGATTCCATAGTACAATTACCCCGCGGCTGTGCCCCAGTCCTCAGTGCGGTGTCTGTGCCCCAGGAACTGGGCGCCTATTTATATATAAAACAAAGTTAGCAGAAAGAGAGGCGGGTCTGGGCTCGGGAGTGGACGGAGTGGCAGTGTCCAAGGACCGAGGAGGTGCCTGGCGCTGGGCTGGTCCCCAGCAGGAAGCAGTGTGGAGGCCTGTCTGCCTCCTTCCCTGGTCTCCAATGCTGGCCTTACCCTCACTGAGCACCTTCAGGGCTAAATCCAGAGGCTTCTTCTTCTTCTAGAAAATCCTGTTTCCTCTAGGGATTCAAAAGGAACCGGGTCCAGGTTCTGGGCTAGTGGGGTGCACTGGGATGGTCCAGGGGCAGCAAGGAGGAGGAGGCGAGAGGCGGGTTTTGAAGGATGCACAGGAGTTTTCTTAGTGGGA